CCAGCCCGCAGGTGCCGGGCAGCAAGAGGGGGACACAACAAGCAGGAAATCGCATTCTCAGATTTTCCAAAATCCGTATTCTGCGCAGAAAACCCAAGATTTGAAATATTTTCTGCCCAAACATATTTCTCCTAAATTCTTCCAGCAAAAACAGAGTTTATAGGCCAAAAAAAGACAAAAAAAAAAAATCTTTGAAGACTGTACCCTGGAAAGTTTAGCAATCTGGCAAGTCTGCCAAACTGCAGAGAAACGCCAAGCAACGACTCAGCCAGTTTGTCCACCAGTTTGTGCAGAGTTTCAGAGCCAGCCCGCAGGACCTGCTGCCCACCCGCAGCCCAGCGGCCACAGCCGTATCTTGTGAGTTGTCGTTGTAGTTGACCTGCTTGCGGATTCTCTTCCCTTTCCCCAAGTTCCTGGCCAGATCTTCCTGCTGCTGCTCGTAGTGGTGCCGCAGCAGCTTCTCCCAGTAGTCGGGGTCCACATTCTCCTCTTGCTTGATGATCTCACGTTCCACCTCCTCCTGCAAAGCAAGAGACAAGAGGTTTCAGATCAGACAGCCCCAGACCTGCCCACACCTCCCCACCATCTGTCCTCTCACAGCACTCCAGGGAGGGAGGGCACCGAGCCACAGGCTGGGTCTTTGCAAGGTGCAAGGCTCTCAAAGGGCTGAGAAAATGTCCCACCCAGAAGGAGCTCCTTCAAACACTGCCACCCATCCTGCCCTGCAGCACCTGCACTCGCATCGAGGGAAAAACTACACGCGAGACCTCCCAGAGCAGCCGCCCGCTAACAGCTTCATCAACAGATGAAGGACGTCAGTCAGTCGGCTGCTGGGCAAACAAATGCCAGCAGCGTGGCACATGAGCAGCACCGTGCCCGTTCCCAGTCCGCAGGGGAAGGGCCTTTGGAAGGACAGATGGCACCTCCGATCGGAATGAGGTCTTGTGCCAAACAAGGGCAGAACCCGCTTTGCACCGTGGCCTGCACACGGCAAAGGCAACGGTGCTTCCTCTGCTGGCGGACGGTGTCCCCAGCCCTGGGATCCCTGGGTGGGGAACGATCACCAGTGGTTGCGCAGAGAGCAGGGAGGGGGCTGCCCCAGGCTGAAACACTCGCAAAAACAGGAAAGGCAGCAGAAAACACAGAGGGACGTACAAAGGGGCGCGATTGTAAGACATGATACTAATCACATTACCACACCGTCCTCTTCTCTCACAACATACTGGGCCACTTTAAAGGAGCTGAGATACTCGTTCATGTTCTGCAGCTCCGTGTCATCAGTCGCATCCTGGTTTCGGTCCAGAAGCTTAGAGATGGCAGCATCGTCATAGTGGATCACACTGCTGTCATCCACGTCCTTATTGTCACCTGAAGAGCAGAGTGAGAGGGATGGAAGTGCAAACCACCGTGCCCCAGTGAGCCTGCCCCCAGACCAGGTGAGCTCAGGCTGGGTGTCGGTCCAGGGAGGGGGACGAGTTGCCCCAAAAGGAGGGGGTACGCACCTGGTGGGGTGCCACCATGCTTTTTTTTCATGCTGGGAGTCACTGCACCCCCTTTGGTTGACAGCGTGTCAGAGAAAGGGGGGACAGCATCCGGCATGGCAATCCGCTGTCCCTGAGACACCATGCCTGCGGGCGTACCGAGAGCAGGATGAGCCCCAGCAGCTCAGACAGGGTCCTGGTCACACGGAGCATCCCCAGCGCCTTCCCACCCTCACCTTCCACATCATCCTTGAAGAGCTCTTCTGTCCCAAACTTGAGGATGTCATCCAGCTCTTGCTTGGTCATGGAGCCCGACTTGGAGCCGAGCCCTGGGCGGACCACCAGGTGGGTGAGCATCATCTTCCTTTTGGCCACCTGGGTGATGCGCTCCTCAACGGACGCTCTGGTCACAAAGCGGTAGATCATCACCTTCTTGTTCTGCCCAATGCGGTGAGCTCTGCTGAACGCCTGCAGGCACAGAAGGAGGCTGTTGAGGGCGGCACCGTGCCATGCCAGCCATAGGGTCCAAGTTTCTTACCCCTTGAGGCTGTACAAGGCTCAACTCCGCATTCAGGCTGCTATGGGGTGTCCTCAGGGCCAACAGGGATTGGAGCCCTAGAAAGGACCTTCTCCCAGATGGAGAGCATGGGAGGGATATGCATTTCTCTTCATTTTCCCATTACTTTCAGAGGCATTACCCGCTTGCACACTACAGCTGCCATTCCCTGGTTGGTCCTTAGCTGGGGCCCACCCCAAGCTTTTGGAAACACAAGTAGAAGCTCCCCAAGAGAGGAGGGAGCACCCGGCTGCAAACAAGCAGCAGGAGAAAGTGAGAAGCCCACGGAAGAGAGACAGTTTGACTTGCCAGGTTCCTCCCCTGACACAGACAGGCCAGGGCAAGGCTGGTGAATGCAGAAATCGTAGAACGGGTTGGGTTGGAAAGGGCTTTTACAGGTCATCTCGTCCAACCCCCCTTCAGTGAGCAGGGACATCTTTAATTAGATCAGGTTGCTAAGAGCCCCATCAAGCCTGACCTTGAAGGAAGGGGGCTCCTGAGCAGAAATGTGCCCCACAAACACAGCAGAAAGGGTGGGCAGCTCTACAGAGAAGAAACCAACGTCCCTGTGCTGGGTCTGCAGAGGGCAGAGCTACAGAGGTACTTACTACAAGGGAATGAAAAGGAAAAGTCAGAAACCTGAATGTCATTGTGGGGATTCCAGTCAGAATCATAAATAATGACTGTGTCGGCCGTAGCAAGGTTTATGCCCAGACCGCCGGCGCGGGTAGAGAGGAGAAAGCAGAACTGCTGAGCACCAGGAGCTGAGAAAGACAAACCCACAGGTGGAAAACGGTGAGACAGAAAGGAGTGTGGCTTATGCAGAAAGGTGCCGTACTGCGCTGCGGGGATGGAACAGCGGGAACCATCGATCTAAGACAACGAGCAACAGGCAGGGCGGGCAGGGAGTGAAAATACACCATCCCCTGGGAACCAGCGACGTGGCACGAGCAGCCTGTGCTGCACCTCGGGAAGCTGAGGCACGGCCAATGCACAGGCAAGCCCCTGTCCTGTGGGCAAGTGGGGC